GAATAAAAATTGAAATATTTTTAGAAAAGTTTATGCTTGGGCAGTTAGCTGTTATGTTGAAAGACAGCTCCTCATCTGAAGAGGAAACACTTGTGCATTGTGTACATTTGTACAATGGAAAAAATCATTGAAGTATGTAGAAGCTATATTGTGGAAGGAAGACACAGGATTTTACAACTTGGTAAAAGAACAATAGAGGAGAATATACAGTTTAGAATGGGATAAGTTTCTTTTCAGCCAAATAGCTGTTCTCAGCAGCTTTCCATCAAATGATGGAGTTTGCTGAGATTACTCATTGCTCATGGGGGGAAATCAAAGACACCTGTTACAGATAGCATGTGTCTCTGTATTTTAAATTAAACTTTTTTTATTTCTTTTTTTTTTTTTTGAATGTTTCTGTGATCATGCTGGATCTGAAAATACTGTGTGTGCCTTGTGATGTGTGAGCTAATTTCTTTAGACACACCTTTATTTTAGTATGGTTTATTTAAAAGAAAAATAAAAGCAGCTGGTTTTGTAATCAGTAGTAGTTGCTGAAAAAGGGATGAGCACCCTCAAGCTGACATGTCACATTAATATCTATGTTTGTGTATGTATATCCATACAATTACTGTTTTAATCACCAGTGATAAAGGTAATGAGAAAGGAAACAAGGTGTGCCAACAAGAGGCTGTTTAAATTTATGTATTTAGAATTGGTATTTTTGAAATGTGCAAAATACAGTATGTGATTTATGAAAGGCTAACTAATTAATTAACTTATTAATAACATTTTCCTTATGGAATTTATGTTCTAATTAGTGACATGGCATGATAAGAGCTACAAAGTTTGGTAAGGAGGGGATGATGAAAGGTAGATGAAGGGACTTTGATATCATGGGTTACTTTCATTTTTTGAGTGGCTATTCATTATTTCAACTGTTTACATTTCTCCTTTTCCATTTGTCATTTTTATGGTTTATTGTGAATATTGATGGGGAAAAAAATGGTCTTAAGTAATAACTAAAATGTTGAGAGTAGGGGAAGTATATTTATAGGCATTGAATAGAGGTAAGTTCTGTATAAAGAGAGACAGAAGAGAGGAAATGGAAGAATGATGGGAAAATACACTGAAACAGGTACATTTAGTAGCTGCAGAAGTTTCAAGATGGAAAGAGGTTATACATCCTTAGCGAGGGAGAGGAACTGTGGAGGATCTGCAAGACAATTAGGAGAAAAATTCAAAGATAATATTATGGGAAAGTATGAGCTTATGGTAGAGAAGGTTCAGGTTCATTATTTGGAAAAGATGCTTCATCAAGAGGGTGGTCTGGCACTAGAACAGGCTCCCCAGGGCAGTGGTCACAGCACTGAGCCTGCCGGAGTTCCAAGAGTGTCTGGACAATGCTCTCAGGGAAAAGGTCTGATTTTTGGGTGGTCCTGTATGAAGCCAGTAGTTGTACTTGATGATCCTTGTGAGTCCCTTACAAATCAGGATATTCTTTGGTTCTGTGGTTCTATGTTTGATAGGAAACAAATATTATTTATTAACTGCTATATTTTGAATGTTATTCAGGAGAATTATGTAGGTATAAGAGAAGCCAAAGCACAGTACAACGACCAAAAGACTTTTAATCACAAAGAAAGGTTAATATTTTTAAACCCTCAAGATTTAGAAACTTTTTTAATTGCTCAGAGTGTTTTCATATTTCTATACATCATGAGGAATGTAGGTACTTGGTAAATTAAGGTTCTGTGTATAAAGTATTTCAGAGATATCAATGTATAGAAATATCAATACATTTTTTTGGTCGTTGGTGAGTATTTCTAAAATTAGATTTTTGACTGGGAGAGCCCAATGGCTTTTATGTAGGTCATGTTCATTTTAAGATTTTGTATCAGCCATTTCATTTGTCTTTCTGAAATTGATCTGCTGTCACTGCAGCTATTGAACTATTTCTGCTAAGTTCTTTCAACTAATATTGACAAGTGCCAGATCTGCTGGGTATAATTTCAAAACTGCTTGTGAGTACTGGCCAACCTGAAGTGTGGTACAGTGGTCCTGCCCACAGGAGAAATTTACAGCAGTTGAGTCGTTATGTCAAAAATGACTAAGCTTTGTATCTTTAGGACTGGATAATGTACAAAATGCATGTACTGTAATAACCCAAGTACTGTATTTAAAATTTATAATCAGAATAAAGCAACTATCTGATAAAGGTCTGCTGCAAAACACCATTAAACTAAAGAGAATATTGTAGTGTCTTTATCCTTCAGGCACTGAACTGTAAGATGAAAGACAACAAAAACATTGTAGGACTTCTGCAAATTCTAAATTTACCCACATTCTCATCCATATGAGAATGGAGTTTCTAAAGGAGCTTTTAGGTCTTGCTTAGATAAAGAGATGCTCCTATGATGAGAAACAATGAATCTGTCATCTAGTCCTTAGGAAATCATGGAAAAGACAGTCTAGAAATATCCTGTTCTGATTCTGTATTAACTAAGAAAATAGCTAAAGAAAAAAAAAATTATTTTCTGGTATTGGTTTCAACTGATGGCTATCGGAATAGTTGTCTTCCAATACCTCAAATTACCCACATTGATGAGTGACATATATTCATATATTCAGATATTAGTCCAGCCAACTGAAGCATGTGGAATTCATTATTTGAATGAGAGACTTTCATAGGTGTTTTGTTTGTTTGTTTGTTTTGTTTTAATAAAGAAGTTGACAACAGACCTATGAAAATAATCTGCTCTGGCTATTGCTTCTGTATATGAAGTTTATACATACATACATAAAAGTATGTGGGATTACATTTTACATGGTGGAAATACTGCTCTCTCATTTCAGAAGATATCTGAATCATGCAGAGAATGAAAAAATACAAATGATAGAAATTTGGCTTTTGCTTTTAAGTATTTTTTTCTGTTAATTTTGAGATACACTGTAGATGTTTCATGCTCATTCATATTTCTAAATTACTATGCCTACCTGCTTCTCAGAAGAGGAGAATATTCCATATAGTTTTTGACTAGATAGGCTGCACATACCTTTTACAGATCACATGTAAAAGAGTTTTCTCCATATGGTTGTACAAATCTTTCTCAGTAACTGACAGTTCAAAATGTAAAATTAATACTCAGAGACAACATCAGAGACAACCATCAGTCAGGTTACTGTGTAGGGACCTTGAATTTACAAGAAACTAATGGATGTGGATCATCTTTTTACTATTGTTTTCTGTGTAATAACTGAAATATAAATACCAACATTTTTTATTACAAAAATCTTAAAACATAAGAAAGCCTTCAGGGAGTGTAGTCCAACATTTGTATATCACTGAAATATCACTGAAATATCCAATGTGAAACTACACACAGGAATTTAGTTGTGATAAATGTGCTAAAATAAATATGATAAATAAATGATAAATGAAATAGTATACTTGCCTAGCTGAAGTATAACTCTGCTAATATATATTTATTTTAATGTGTGTTGTATCAAGTGTTTTAACATGGTGTCTCATAAGGAAACAGCACAGTGGAAACTATTTGTACAGAACCTTAGAGAGTACAGGGGGACATTTTGTGATGCATGAGACAGGTGTTAGTACTTCAGACATTGATATGTGGAATTGTAAGCAAGGAAATAGTGATGAATGACCTCTTTGTTCAGTTAACAAAGGCCAGGCATTTTATTTATTTTTCTCAGTTTTACTTACCTTCTGCAAGGCAGAGGTGACTCTTCTTGAGACCATAAACAGAGCAGCTGGGGAAGCTGTCAGTTCTTATGGCTGATAGAAAAGGGTCACACGACAAGGGCTCACTCATATTTTAGCTGTTTCCAACTGCCTTATACTTAAATCCTTCTTAGTAGTAGTAGACTTACAAGACTTAGCATTAATTAAATTAAAACTCATCTGGGAAGCTCAGAAAGAAAGTGGGTAGAAGAAGAAACAGGAACTGTGTGAAACAAAATATAAATCTGGTTGGACCTGCCCAAAGCTTGGGAACTACTCCTGCTTCTGACAGTCTGCTCAGTGTGTTGTGTTTCCTCATGCATTGTCCCATGGAAGAGTTTTCCCTGGAAAAGAAATAATATATAATACGCTAAGAAATTAATGGTTAAATTGTTAGTTATTCCGGATTAACTTTCCATTGGAAAGTATTTCACTTTTAAAACATTAACTTTAGAGAAATCACCTCAAAATAATATGTCCTCATCTCATTCTAATGTATGATGTATTGTAATGTATGATTAATGTAAAGCTAAACTGTCATGTCTGTGTTAAAAATTCTTTGTAAATAAAACTATTTTTTAGTGTTGTATTTGTTGTTGTTTATTTACTTATTTATTTTGTATATGGGACAACACTATTTAAAATAAAACTATACAGTGAAGCAGAAACAGGAGGAAGAAAAAAGACAAAGCCGGACACCTTCAGTTCTGTAGATCTCAAATGGAAATTGTCCGTTGTTTCATAATCAGTTTCTTTTAGACTTAACACATCTTACTCCCGGTGATTAATCCCCTACAGGATTGCTTATATTCTTGTAATGTTCAGACTATTTCTCTCTGTAAGGAAAGTTTTAATTTTTGCAGTATTTAACCTGAATGTAGTCCTGTTGCTGGGGAAATGGTGACATTATTTCTCTTATTCAGTCTTATTTGCTTGTATTTTAATTGTTTTAGCTAGAGGCATCTCATTTAATAGTTATATTAAGCTTCAGTGTTTCTGCTAGCAGATGACACAGAAACAATAGGAAATCTTTCTCCCTAGGTACTTTTGCAAAGCTATGCATGCAAATTCTACTCACTGACAAAGGATAAATTAATCTGTATATTACTTATTTTGGAAAGAGAGATGATGGCTGAAACCAAATCATTTAAATACATACAACTATTTTTGGCGTGGTCAATTGTGGTCAGTCTTGTAGCTCACAAAACAATATCTTTTTTTTCTTTTCTTTCTTTCCTTTTTTTTTTTTTTTTTTTTTCTTTTGTGTGTATTGCAGGTAGCATAGTGTACCTTGGGATGATGGTGGGGGCATTCTTCTGGGGAGGCTTGGCAGACAAGGTGGGAAGGAGACAGTCACTCCTGATATGCATGTCTGTCAATGGATTCTTTGCCTTCCTTTCATCATTTGTCCAGGGGTATGGCTTCTTCCTCTTCTGTCGATTGTTTTCTGGATTTGGGTAAGCTCCTCTGGTTTTGTTCATTTCTACAATTGTGTGTGCTTTTATTAAGTCTTTTATTTGCAAAAGTTCATTATTTAATGCAGGAATATAACCTGTGTCGGGGGTGAGGAAATTAATCAATGCAGCTACTAAAATTGTAAACAAAAACTAGGAGGAGAAGAAGGATGACCTTAGGAGAAAGATGCAGACTGAAAAGTGTGAAATTGAGATCTGTTCTCATTCTGCAACAGACTTGCTTTGGGAATTTGCTTAACTTGCTTAACTGTGTTATATCAACTGTTTTATATCTCAGCTTCTCTATGTATTGTCTGTTGATTAAGCAGTATAATACTCCCCTCATGGGTGTAAGATTTCAGTAATATTTATAAATTTTCTATTGCCTTTGTGTGTCAAATATTTATAGCACCACTGTAGTCAAGACTGTCAAATTTAAAATTGGGCCTTATATCTTGCCAAATGTTATTGCTCCTTCCATAAGGAGAAGGTTTGTGGCCCTGTGGCTTTACTTGTCTTTTAATTTAAATAACTTCTTACTTGGTGAAAAAGTTTAAGATATTGGTCATGGTTCATTAAGTTTGTAATTTTAAACTTAAGCTGAGATTGAGATGCCCAAGCTAATTAACATGACATACCTTAATTGTACCTTTATTGCACTCTGGGATAATGAAGAGTTTTGTTCTGGAGTAGTTTAGCACTTCTGGTGTTTACATGATTCAGATCAAAAACTCTCATTTATGATTCCATTGCTGGCCACTTTCATTCTTTAGAATGCTCAATGTGAAACAGCTAGGAAGAGCACAGAACACTGTACGGTAAAACCGTGCGTATGAAGTCCATTTTTTGTATGGTTTGTTGGCTCTGGTTTATGTAACCATAGTGCAAAAACACTATCGTATGGTGTTTGCAGTTTCAAAAACCACAAATGGTCTGAAGCAGGGTAGATCTAGACAATGACACCAAAATACAATTGCTATAGCACTAAGTACTGTTAAACTGGTTCAAGAAAGAGCCTAAAAGGGGGAGAGGATTGAGGGAAGGGATGTGGGGCGTCCTCTTGCCAGGAGAGTCTAACACCAAACTTTTAGATGTGACTCTTCTTAGAGTCATGAGGATTCTACTTATTTTAAAAGAATAATAACAATCCCATCCAGCTTCCCTACCTGTTTTTCCTTTTATAGGTCACTATCACTTCTAGATTTTATGTTATGACTACCCAAAGTTCTGCATTTTCATCAAAACCCTGACACATTTTACAAAGAATAAATTTTCACTACAGTAAGATGTTCCTTGTTCCTATATCTCTGTAGCTGATTAAAGGACCTTTGTTCTGAAAAAACAACCTTTGACCTTGTTGAATGACACTTTCTCTCTTTCACGATCCTTTCAACGTCCAGAAGATTGTTGTATTCCTGCTTAGTCTGCCTAGTTCATGAAGTCAGCACTTGACCTTTGTTGTCCATACTGGACAACTTCTGATAATGAAAAGTCAATTAAATATTAAGAGCTATTCATGAGATATGAAATCATGAGATGTAAGGTGAAGGGATTTTAAACTGCTCTTCTATCTTCTAGAAAATACAAAGATATATATAAATATATGAATAAGCATGAACAATAAAATCAGTATCTGATATAATAATTTATTTATAGAAAATAATATAAAACAGATTATCCTCAGATTCTCTTGTAGACAAAACATACTTACAGAAGTAAACTGATCAGGAAAAACAATCAAACAACAGCAACAGCAGCAAACAGTCCACCTTCTGATCATGTTTTTGCATCTGAAAAACTTGAAACTATTAAAAGTTTTGCATCTCCCCCCTCCTCCCAAGAAGAAGAATTATTTGGAATAAGAACAGTGTAAATAATATTAAGATACTGCTTGGTACAAGGTGTTGAGGGATATGAAAGTCTCAACGGTAAACTTAAGCTGGTGAAAAGACTAAAGAAATGTTGGGTAGTCTGCAACATCATTTCCGTTTGTGGAAAAAATATCATAACTGTGATTCCTCCATTGATTAATCCAAAATCTAAAATCAAAAGGAAATTGAATCCCAAAGTCAGATAAAGGTCTAGCAGGGCTTTTGACATGGTTTCCTACAATGTAGAAACAGCTAGACAGGAAGCTGTGAGCTGTATTCATCATTAGTCAGTGGAGAGAAGGGGAGGAAAGGGGGAAATGTGCTAAAATTATCATCAAAAAGCACCTTGTTAGATCTATCTTTGAAACTGTCAAAGTAAATTTTCTCTAATACCAGATTATGACTCATAATATCACTACTACGTTGAATGGAAAGGGAGCTGTTGCCTATCCAACACTGGCACAGTGAAATACTAATCTCAACTAGAGAATTTTATCTAATGTCTATTACAGAAAGTTATATTTTTTTATTGATTTTATTTTTTGGGGCAGGGGGGAGGGGGAGAGGGGGTGCTTTTAAGTAATTTTAGATAGAGTTTTCCATGTACAACAACTTAGTTTAGAATAACATGCTTAAAAGTACTCTATACTTTTGTATTAGCCCAGCAAATTTCATTTAGGTTGCCTTGAAGTAAACAGAGAGATGATACATTTTCCCAAACTGTATTATACTTATATAGCCCAAATGCTGCTTCTAAAAGTAATCAAAGTTTTCATGTTGTATAAAGGTAACTGAAATAAATATATATCCTGAGGCCAACTACAGTTTAAAAATTATTCAACCAACACTGAAATGATTCTATTTCATGAGGGAACTATGAAAGGTTAAACAAACATGTCATAATTTACAAACCAAGCATTATGTCCAGAATATAGAGATTTCTTTTAATTTGCTATAAACACTAGTTTGACCAAATGTCTTCTTAAGATCCACAGAAATATTAGTAAACTTGGCTTAGATGTGGTGAATTTATATAACCGAAAGCCAATAAAAAGCCCGTCATACCCTGTGAGTCTTTCTCAATATTTACTATCATATAGTATATATGTTCCACAAGATGTTAGACTAGACTCACCTTCAGACAGCCTTTTTATCCCTTTCTCAGAAAATCTCTCTGCAAAGCCACCTGCAGTAGTCCTTCTACATTACTGGGATCTAACATATAAAGAACTGGTGTCAATGCAGTAGCATTAAACTCATCATTTAGATCTTGCTAGAATCCCTCACATCTTTGTAGGGATCAACAGTTACCAAAAATTCAGATCTGTAGATGAGATTTCTTGTAACTAGCAATTTTTGAGGTCACCAAGCTGACATTTACTACCATTTTTGCATGTTGTGTGTAGCAGCAAATAACTCCTACATTTATACCATTTATACTGCCCTTCTCTAAATGACCAAGACAGGAAGGACAGCTAGTGGTCTGTATGCATAGCAACTTTCAAAAGATTCCAGCAGAGATATGGGCCATGTGAACACAGCACAGTTGCACAACACTACTATGCAAGCAGTTGCTGTCAAGGACTTCAGATCTTGACCAACAGGCAGCTTTTATAATTATATGCCATTAGTATTCATTATTATGCTGTACTTATCTTTTACCTCTTTACGCTTATTTGCTCTATTTCTTTCTCGTGTGTCTTCTTACCCTGAAAGGGTTGTAATCCTTCTGACTTTAATTCCTCTGCAAACTCCAGCTGCCTCCCACCCATGGCTATCCGTAGTTGTACACTGAGAGCTAATGAATAGCTCTGCAGGTGACTGGCTTCAAAGCTGATAGTGTATGCCAAAAAGGCCAATATGTTTCTCAGGCAAGCCAAGGAAGCAGTTGGCAAGGTATGAGCTTTCCAAATAGCTTTGATTCCAGGCCTTTCTTCCTCTTCTGTGGTTAAAGGTTGACTGACGTAAACCTGACACAGCTGGGAGAAAAATGGTCTATCTTAAGACTGTGAAGACAAGAGGACAATATTTTAATGGGAAAGGAAGCTTATATGAAAGAGAACGACTAGAAAAGTGAAACACAGAAATAAGGTAGAGCCTATACAACAGAAAACTCAAAAGAGAAAGTAAAAACTTGAAAAGAGAAATGAAAAAGAGGAAGGAAGAGATCTGCAAAAGACCAAGAATTCATAAACAATCATAGAATTGAACAACCCAGGCTGGAATGGACTTTGAAAGATCATGTCCAACCTTAATGGGAAAAGGGAGATTAGATGAAATGATCTGGCACCCTGCCCGTTCATATCTTGAAAGCCACTGATGAAGGGGATTCTATCATACCTCTGGAGAGGTTGTTCCAGTGACTGATTGTTTTCACTGTAACAAATTACTTTCTTACATGAAGATGAAATCTCTTCCAGTGCAGTTTGTACCCATTATCCCTTTTCTTCTCCATGTGGATCCTTGTGAAAAAGATCCTTCCTCTTTGTAGTCACACATTAAGTACTGTCTGCCCTTCCAATACTGGAGCACTGTGATAAGATCTGCCCTGAGCCTTCTTTTCTTCAGTGTGAAAAAATCTAACTCTTCAGCCTTTCCTCATAAGACAGGTTCTCCAGACCTCTGATTATATTTGTGGCCCTCCTTTGGACACTCTTCAGTCTGTGTCTTTTTGAACTCTGGGAACCAGAACCAGACACAGTGCACCAGGTGTGATCTGACAAATGCTGAGTAGAGTGTGATGATCACACGTGTATCTCTGCTAGTAATGTCCCTGTAGATGCAGAAATGATTCTGTGCTTGCCAGTGCTGGCACATCTGAAAGCAGCTTATCTGGCATACCTAACTGCATAAGTACGACAAACAAATTCTTTGCAATTATATGCTTGTATTTGACATAAAATTTGACTTGTCTTTTTTTTTTTTTTTTTTTTTTTTTTTTTAGTAGTGTTGGAAAAATTTGTGGACTTAATTATTTACTCATCAGTTTCCTTCAGAACTAACAGTATTTTAGAGTTCTGTAAATAATCATACATGAGTCTATCACAGGGAGTCTCACTATTGGTAGCATACAAGTCATGTGTGTACCTAGAAGACAATTTCTCTAGCTTGCATAATCCAATCAGGCACTTGGATTTAAAAATAGGTGGAATGATCAGCAATGCATAGCCTACAGCATGCTGCTGTTTTGTAGGGCTTATCCCAGCAGTTTGCAAGGTGAACAAGTTGATCTGGGTACTTGCTTTTGCATATCTTGCCAATCTAGAGGAAGTTCTGGGAGGAAAATAACAAAGATGTTTTTAATCAGACTTTTGGAAGTGAAAGAAGAAACTGTTTAAGAAGAAGAGGAAAAAGTAGATGCAAGTGGACAAAAGAAGGTGGGCTACTTCCAAATCTCATGAGCATAGCAGTGAATCTGTGTTTAGAACTCTGATACTTAACAAATCACCAGTAAAAAACTTGCAAATGTCAACGCACAAACGCAATCTTTACTCTGAGTCTAGATCTCATCCATATTTGTAAAAGAAGAAGACAAGATATTTCAGAACAACATTCTGCCTTGTACAGTTAGTATTCTATATGGTGGTGTGGGTTTTTACATCCCCCCTTCCTTTCCACTCCATTGTGTCTCTTCCTTATATACTTTTGCTTTTCAAGACACTTTGCTTAGTGTATCTGCCAATAAGCAAAGGCTCTCTGAAGCCAGAGGCTCCAGGATGCTTTTTATTTATTTATTTTCCATCTGTCACACTGTGCAGTTACCAAAATCTGTTTTGACAAATCATGGCTTCTAGCGTAGATTTGCAGGGATTTGTTTGTGACAATATAAGTGCAAATATACTGTAGTTTATTTTATTTTATTTTATTTTTGTAGTTTCATTAAAATTCTGTTCTCCTAGGGTGCATCGTTTAAATCTCTTTTTGATTTTCCTCTCCCAATAAGTTCACAGAACAAATTTGTATAGAAAGTGTACAGAAATACATGTAACACTATAAAAGCATGGCCTGAGCCCTGGAGGGTAAGAAATAATTGCTGTAAGCCACTTAAACCTTGGGAACTGGAGAGCCTACAGGTTCTATAGCACCACTAAGCTAGTAGGCCTTCTTCATTGCAGCAAAATGAGCTGTGATTCCACCCTCAGCCATGCCTCTCCCACTGTTTCTCATCCTGGGCCTCCAGGACAACCTCTCAGGACAATCTCCCTCATTGTGAGAGAGCAATACCCTGGTGAAACTTTTTAGAATTTTTACCCATGAGAACACAAGATACAGTCCTCACATGGGAACTCTATCCGTACACCTAACAAGAAATCACAGAGGTGCGAATCTCTGCAGAACTTGCAGAGAATGTTAGCAACCTTCGCTATGGCAAACATTAATTTTAAAGGTAACAGTTGACTGGCGGTACTTTGTGTAGAGTTGTGTAGAAGGAAATGACAGAATAGCAGTCCCCTAAACAAATTAACTTTTCAATGCAGTGTTTCATTGCAATACCTGAGGATACCTTGAAGTAAACAATATTGCATTGACATGGCACTGATTTCTCCTAGCACTGAAATACCATTTCTGTATTCATCTTTTACTTTCTATATTTGTTTTAATCTGTTCTAAATTCCTTCTTTTTGCTCCCAGTTTGGCAGTCACTGAAACAGCAGCATAAATACACATTTATCTTTAAAGCTGAGTTAAAAATTTCAACCATGAAAGTCATTACTTCTTTAAAGGATTTAATCTTGTGTATCTGAAGATCTGTTCAAACTTCACAGGTATTTTCTTCAGCAGGAAATTAAAGCCCACAAAGACTTAATCTGTTGTGGAACATTTGACAGTTTGCATTGGTAGTGAAGAGTTAAAGACACTAAAAGATTATTTGAAACCTAGTACTGACAATGATACAAAATTTGAGTTATAATAAATTTTGCAAAACCAAGTTGAAGTTTTTTGTTCAATTCTTTTTAAAAATTATTTATTTATTTTACTCTGTGAAGATCTGTGGATATTTTATGAATGCATAGGCTCTCCCATAAAAAATTTAAGCCCATCATGGGCTTAGCAAATCACATGGTGCAAATGAATATAACATATTTTTAAAATATGCATGAAATAAAATATATTAACAACATACTTGGAATTTTGTCCATTCCTGTTTAAGCACTGAAACACTGGAGTTTAAACTTAGAGAAATATCTATTATTCTTTGGGAAAATTGCTAATATTTTCAGTTAAATTGAATGTATTTTGACATTTGTCATTAGATTGCTATGATTACAGGATTTTTGTTGTGGTGAAAGTCAATGCATTGTGTTGGTTTCTGTTTCAGCAGCCAGCACATTGACAATCCATTTGAATCACTGAATAAGTTGAATTGTATATAGAGTTTTCAATGAAATTTTTGACAAAAATTGCATCCAAACCGGTGACAGTTTTCTAAATAGCTCTTCAGTACCTCGTGCTATTTGTGAAAAAAACAGTCTTGCTAGGAAAGCTGCTTGTAGTTTGGGTTTTAAAAGACCTTATCCAAACTTTAAATAGTTGTTACTTTCTCCCTTAATGTATGGTGTATATTTCATTTTAGGATTGGTGGAGCTGTGCCAATAGTTTTCTCCTATTTTTCGGAAGTTCTTGCTCGGGAGAAACGAGGTGAACATCTGAGTTGGCTCTGTATGTTTTGGATGATTGGCGGTATCTATGCATCTGCAATGGCTTGGGCAATAATTCCTCATTATGGTAAGAAAAACAACTTGCATTTTTTCATTCTTTTACTGTGAAAGTAAAGCTCTTCAATTAGAGTTTAAACATGGTGCTATATGTCTGTTCTCAAAATGTTAACCCTGATATTGAGAAAAAATGATTCCTTTGTGGGAAGTTAAGTGAACTGATCATACCCTAAATAAAAACATATTAAGAAATTAATATATTAATACAAAAATTACCTAATACCCTTGCTTAGTCAGATTCTATAAATTTACTAGAAACATGGACAAATAGAAGTATGAGTAACTTGGGAGAGTGGAATGTATCCCTGCCTATGATGGGTGTGTGTGTGTGTGCAAAATTAGATGACCTTTAAAGTCTGTTCTAACCCAAACCTTTCTATGATCCTGTAAGTCTATGATTCTATGGTTACTGGTATTTTTTTGAAACTGGAGAAAATAAGTGACATGGATAAATTAAAGAAATTAAAGAGGATAGTTTTTAAAATGTTGAGTATAAAAGTTCTGCAGCTTTTTTGTTTGTTTATTTGAAACAGAAATTAATTGTCAACTATACACTTGAGAAAAAAGTGTAAGGATCATCTTAATGTTTGTGGTGGCACTTCTAAATATAAATACATATTGAATGTTCTTAGTGGATCTTTTTAATGATGTAGGAATACAGAAATCAATAAAGTGCACATAATAAATACTGTAGGGATGAATGAAGGCAAATAAGACAAAAAGCTTACAGTGATTGAAATTATATGAACATGCAATATATACTGCTTTGCAAAAGAACTCTTTACTGCCCTGACATAGTCAAACATACAGAGATACAGGTTTGAATCAGTCTCCCGGGCTTGTGTTTTGAAGAGTTAAGTGCTCATGGGTCTCCAGGGTGGCTGAGACTGCTCAGTGTTTTTTAAAAATCAGGCTCTGTAAGCACTTGTTGGTGGCATTCTTCAAAACAAATAGAGCAACGTCATGAGTTAGCTAGCATGCAGAGCAGTATTCTTAAGCTAGGCATTGATATTTATTGAAGTTGGATTATGCAAAAGAGGAAAAATTCAGAAGGTTTGCCCAAAGTGATTGGAACATTTAACAGACAGTAAGACCCAGAAATAAATTCTAACCATGCACACTAATCAAATATCTAGACTGTAGCATGAAAACTAATTTTAGACTGGACATACAGCCTGAATCTCTGTCTTTAACCTTGCCTTTTGGCTTTGAATTCCTGAAATCAGAGAGGAATCTTTGCTGGCAAGGCATGATGTGGAGATATATATATATTTGATTAGTCGGTTGTTCTAGATGCCTTTTTTTTTCTTTCCTTTATATTTCTTTTCTTTATATTTCAGGGGAAAATACAAACATTATGACAGATTGATTTGAATAATTTGACCGTAGATTTCATAAATAACTCTACAGCCTTTAATGAGGTGCTTTCAAAAATGTCACATGGCAATATATCTCAATGAATAACAATACACAGCTTTACATTAAAGTAGTGACACTGGAGGGAATAATTTTCTTCTTTCTTTAGAAGTGGACAAGTATCAGCAAAAAAAAAAACAAACCAAAACAAAAAAACATGCTGTGCTGTTTTGGTTTTGTGTGTGTGTGTTCCTGCAAAAGTATCTAGGAAATCACTTCAGACAGAATAACACAAAAAACAACTTTAAAAGACTGTATTCTTCATCTTTAGCAATATAAATCACTCTCCTTGCAGTATATGAAAAAAAAAAAAAAAAAAAAAAAAACATAATAGCCAAAGGGAGGGCTAAAAAGGAAGCTATAAACAGCAGACACAATTCTTTCCCACAGGAAAAGAAATAAGCTTACACATGAATTTGGAAAAATTAATCAGAATATATTTATGGGTTTGAATGAGGTCTTTCATAATTATTTTTCCTTTAAATTAGACCTCTTCTTTATGTTGTCAAGGTTAAAGTCTGTGTCTTACTGCCTGGTACAAGTGTGGGATTGTTCTGCTCAGGACCAGTCATAAACTGCTTCATTTTCATGATTGCTTGCTGAGTTTCCAGGCACTGCCAAGTGTTCCCAGGGCAAATGCTGCTCTGGAACTGGGGAGGATACATTAACACAATACTGTATCCTTCTGCAAACATTCCAGGAGAGGTTAATGCAGGCTCTGGTCATTTCACCATTTGTATCAAGTGCATTCATGAGGACTCCTTTAAGACCATTTTCTCCTTTAGAAATTCTACATGGTTTCCACATGATTATTTTGCCAAAATTACGCAAAGAGGTATCTTTTTCTCCAAACCACTTTCAGTCCTTCTCATCATTCATATCTCCACTGGCCAGGAAGTAAAACATAATTATAAACAAAGCATCCACTTATTTCTAAGGTTCATAGTGCATAGGAAATTCTGATGTCTCCACTTCTCACTTGAGGAGCAAACAAGAGTTCGATTTCCCTAGCAGAACACTGAAATTACTCAAAGACAATAAACGAAGTTGTATCTATTGAAGAGCAATAAGATGCCATTGAGCATAGTGGAATTATTGTAAATGAATGGAAAAGTACCAGATCAGCGGTATAGAATCATTTTTTATTTTTTTGTTTCCTCTCTCTGTTAACGTAATTTAAAAAGTCCCAGATTTGCAGCTGGTATACATTACATGTATCTAGCTCCAAGGCAGGCAGTGAAGCTATACTATTTCACCTGTTGAAGATTTATTTTTATTTATATATATATATATATATATATATAGTTATTATTATTATTATTGTGAGAAAATGAAGTCTACATTCCCTACATGTTACAGTTTATCTGTTTCTATTCAAACAACATGGGAGTGACTGAAGCCTGAGAAGAATCAGGATGATGTAGTGCTGCAGTGACTACATACTGGAAGATTAGTTTTATCTGGAAGGCAAGCACGTTTCAGAGCTTCTTTAAGTCTATGGCTGTTGGCTTCTGTTTAAACATTGAAAATGGATGCAGACTTGCTCAGGGTTCTTGAAAGAAGAGTTGAGGTCATAGAGAATCTATTAGAAGAAACATCTGCAGAGAAACACTTCTAATTGCAGCCAATTAACAAAGTCCCAGACTAGGCTGCTGCAAATAGATGGCTTTATGCACAACGTAGGTCAGGCTTGATAGGAAGGATAATTACCATGTTATAAACCATTTTGCAAGTGCAACTTTAAATTTAGCATAACGCTTCAAAGTGGATTACTTCCAAGACTGTCAAATGCATCAAATACATTATCACAATGTTTTTTAAAATACTCATTTTCCAAACAATGAAAAATCTTAACAGTGAGAGATCATATTTCAGTGTAAAATCTCAATAGTGATATATTACCCCTTCATTACACTTTTTGTTTCTTCATTCAAGCATAGGAACCAAGGATTCATCCAAGTTTTCCAAGCCAATTTTATCCCGTCATTGAAAAAAAATAATTATTTATATATATATATATAAATATATATATATAATATATATATTATTTATATATATAATTATATATATAATTATATATATATTATTTTTTATATATAATATATATATAATAATTATATATATAATTACATATATATATTATATATGTAATTATATATTATAATATATATATATTATATATATATATATATATATATATATATGTAATTATCAGTTCTCTGAAAAAATATGTTGCCTACCATACATGATGTTATTTTTTTAAAAAAAAAAGGTCAGTATTTTGTTGTGTCATATCTCCAAAATAAAACCAGGGGATGTTGGGTAAAGCTTTCAGTTTATTTATGCTGTTAGTTTTGCTATTCTGTGCAGTTTTATGTTTGGCATATATGAGGATCCTTTTCTGACTTTATAAACACCAGAAAAATTCCCTATATTTTTTATTTATTTATTTTTTGCTTAGCAACAGACAACTGTTGACTTCACTGAGTTATAGATCTTATTACTGAATAAGAGAGCAAACACATGACCTAGATTGGAAGGAAGAGAAGTGGAGATGATGGGGTGTCTGACCAGGATGGTGCAGGTATCAAGGTTGCTGCACATAAACAGCAGTTTACATTTCAAGCTCAGGAGCCAAGGGATTATGTGACAGCAATTAGAAGGAAGCAGCAGCATGTATAAATGAGTTGTTTTTTCCTTTTTTTTTTTTTTTTTTTTTTAATAGCATTTGTAAAATAATGTTATTTGCTTTTGCTGTTTTAAACATCAGCAAAGCTAATCAAATATTCATAATATTTTGAGTACATTTCTAAATTATGGGAAGGGGCCTTCATTAACATTAATTGTTACTAGTTTTTACTTAGTAAAAGCAAGTAAATCTAATTACTAGTTGCATTTTACAGCTTGACAGAAATGTCTACAACCAGTTAGCTAGGAGCTAGATTTGCAAGCATATATGTGCAAGAGCAACAGTATTCACCACTTGATTAATTTGTAAATTCAACCCTCTGTAGTGGAGAACCTGGATTACTCTACTGACTAAGGTCATAAAGTCCTAATAAAAGCAGGATTTGAGACACATGGGATTTTTCATTTGCAGAGTAAACAACTATTAAAACCTCATGCTGGTCTAAGGGCCCAATACCAACATGGGTCTAATTACTGTCATAAGTCCTTAGCCCCAAAAACTCTCTTTACAGTTGTCTTTCTAAATTGTCTTTCTATGTATTTGGGATGAGTTCAGGATATGCTTTCTCACACACTAGCCACTCACTTCTGGTGTTTACCGGGGAGAGAGGAGACAACAATATCAAGCAGTTTTCATGTATGATCTGAGAGAGATATCAGTCAAATTCCAATTAAATTAGTGTAAATTATCCACTAAAAGACTATGAAATTACTCTATTAGTAATACAGAATCAAGAAAATAGGAAACAACTTTCTAACACTCAGTGCAAAAACTCAGATATAATTCTTTAGATTATACATTTTATTTAGATCAGTGTCTAAATACCTAACATCTGACCATTAATTTTTCATAAGTAGAATCTTTTTTTTTTTCTTTTTTCTTTTTTTTTTTTTTTTTTCACTTCA